GGGTGTTAAATCTTGTATTCATACTAATATACTTGTATACTAACTCGTTTTGTTTCTTGGCATCTCGAGTGCATTCTATTTGAGTGCATCTGAGCTTCCTTTGCAGCATTAGTTGGGAGTGGTGACGAAAAATAACTACGGTTGTAAAAGATGTCTTTCGGATTTCTTTTGTTTTCTAAAGCTTAGGGTCGATATTAGTTTATTTATTTATTTTATGACTTTAGTTTTTGCTAATTTGGCATTGTGGGTTATTTTTTAACTTTACACTATTTAAGTTATTTTGCCTATTTGTTGCTACTTTAATGTTGGAGGTATTAGATAGTCATGAATTTATGATGGATGGTTTAGTTGACGTTTGTTAATTTTTTTTATCTCTTGTATTTTTTTTTAGCATTGAAATTTACTTAAATCAGATTGGGATGATGGAATATTGATTGGGGTTTAGTTCTAATTTAATATTTAATTGTCCAAATTTTGGAGTGTGACACAAATCAAATTTGATGAGGCAGAATCCGCAGAGCAGATCGAGATAGAAACAGGGGCGGAAGTCCAACAATTCTGAAATTGGTGAAACAAATTTTATTCTAGCGGGACAAAGAGGCGGGAGCCAAATAATGAAGCAAGGGTTTATCATTCTTTATCTTTCATGCCATCCTTATCTACCATCTACACCACAAATTTGCTGTGTTTTCATCTTCTATGATCAGAGTTCATTAGGTATTATTTCACTCTTTCTCACTCTCATCAAACACACGCAATACCTCTATCTTTGTCACTTATTTATGATCTGCTTGTTTTAGACATAAAACTTGATACAATCTGGAAAATTTAATCTTTTAACTCATGAATTTATTAATATTCATCTTTTAATATAAAAGGTTAGTTGTGATTTACTATTATTGTATTTATGTTGTGATTTTATATAATGTCTTTCAAGTGTTTGTTTAAATGCTTCAGTGAGATTTTTGCATTATTTTGCTATGTTTTTATTTTAATTTTTTTTACCCTTTTTCTATTTGTAAGGATGACTAAGACGACAAAATAAAACAAATCTATTTCCACACCATCACTTCAAGAAAGATTCTATAGCCCCATATTTTATTTTTATTTTATTATTATTATTATTATTGCATTCGTAAACATGGTATTTCTAAAAGTCCCAATTAAGTATTTAAATGATGTGACTTGCTTATCTACTAGAGAAATGTATATCACTTTCAGTTGCGATCATCTTCACTCTGGCACTTTATACTAATTTATTTTTTAAATATTATTTATTAATTTTATATATATAATTACTTAAGTAGTTAAATCTTGATTTACAGGTGAGAGGTATAGTTGTTCTATAAAATATCATTAGGCCAACAAAAACAGTTGCAATCGGAGTACTTAAAAGCACAGACCCATCTAAAGAAGTAGAAGGGAAGAACTAGGACCTGACTATTGGGAGGTACATGATCAATGAGAGCTTGATCCGATCATATGGACTTGTCAAAATAATTGGACAAGCTATTGGAGCTCATGTTGCTTGGCCTGCTCCATTTGTGGTATATTTCTTTCGTAAATACTAATTTCATTAACAAATTTATATTGACTTAATATAGTTTCAATTACCTTTATATGTTTATCTTTTGGATGCAGATTTTGTAAGTCATCGATGCTAGCCGAGAATATTTATACAAGTGAGGTTGAGAATTTGGGAACTGAATTTGTTTGATAATTTGTCTTTCTGGAAAATGAATATCACTATGGCTTTTCAGAACTTATAGTTGGAATAATTTTCTTTTAAATTTTTTTTGCTTTAACTTTGTTAGTGTGGTAGAATATTTTATAATTTTGATTATGATTTGTATTGTAATATTAATAAATTTATATTTTTAGATAAAAAAAATTACTGTGGTTTGAAGTTTCTTTGTTTTTGATGTGATGATCATATGGTGGTAATATTTGTTTATTATTATAAAAATATTACAGGATGAATGGATGTCAAATTAATATAGGATGTGACAATTAATATTCAATTTTTTATAAACTTGATTCAATTTTTACAAGCATTTACGCATGTTTAGTTGTGACTTTTAAAAGTATCAATGAAAAGAGCATATAAGTGGCATTTCGTAATAGTGGTAGTAGCTTGCAAAGTGTCACTAGAGTAAGCTCCAATGACACTTATATCCATTTAATGGCACAAATGAATTGGATTTAGTTACATTTATGAAGTTGTTAAAAATATCAATTGTGGCATAACAAGTGCCATTAAAAATCCATATAGTGGCATTTTTTAGATTGTAAGTCTTTTCTAATGGCACTTGATAGTTTCACGAATAGTGTCTAATATGACATTAAAGTGTCACTGAAAGTCTTTAGCCTTAATGATGTAATAGCACTTACAAGTGTCACTGAAGTGCCATTAAATCTTTTTTTAATGGGGCTTGATAGTGTCACAAATAGTGTCTATCATGACAACAAAATGTCATTGAAAGTCTTTAATCATGATGGTGTAGTGGCACTTGCAAGTGTCACTGAGGTGCCACTAGTATCTACCGTGACACGGGGTATGAATGACACTTGTTTAAAATGGCACAAGACTAAAAAATGTCATTAGAAGAAAAGTTTTGTGACACTTTCAAATGTCACTAAACTAAGAAAATGTTATAGCTAGAGCTAGAGTAATGCTAGAATGATAAGTAGAAATAGAGAGTTTTTAAAATATCTTTAAAAAAAAGTTTTCTTAAAGTTGATTATTCAATAATTTGACAAACAAAAAATATGATGATTGTTACTTTCCCTTCCTCTTTTTGGACTAGTCTTCCTTTTAATAACCTCTCCATTATTGTTTTTTCTTCTTTTCTCTTTTCTTTTCAACTTTGATATAAGCTTGTTTTGAAAAGTAGGTTAAAAACTAATTATTTTGACTTTTTTGGATTTTATTTTGTAAAAACGTGTAAAAAATAAAAGATGTGATGTAACTTAAAAAAACTAAAAAAAAATGACATTTAGCCGAGCTGCTAAAACAAGCCATAAAATGACTTATTTCAGTACAGAAGAGTCATCCAATGGAGTCACTTTAAGTACATGCAATAAATTAGAGGGTGCAACCATGTAGCCATTTTCTAATACTATATAAATTAATAAAATTTATTAAAAAATTATTATTTGTTGATGTAATACTTATTACATTATTGAAGTGGGTAATGTTTTATATTTTAATTTTTTTTTATTGCATGACACATTGGTTACTAACAAAAAATTTATAAAATTTATTAATTTGCATAACAACTATGTGTTACTTGCACCCAACACAACTGTATTATTTTTAATCTCTACATTCTCATTTTTTTTCACTTTGAGATTGAAAATTATGTTTTATATTTAACTAATTTTAGATAATTTTATTATTCATTTTATAAATTTTTTTTGTTACACAATTTCAACCATACATGTCTTTTTAATTATGTAATTTTTTAAGAACAATATAATTTATATTAAATGTAACTAATATTAATCTCATTTTAAAGGTATCATCAATATCTACCCAATAGTACTAATTTTATAAAGGATGCAGCTTGTCTCCAGTCCAAGATCAGCCTGGACGGTGTTGTTCGGCCTGTGGGGACCCACTACGGGTCCTGTTTTGATAATCTGAACCGTTGAATGTGTAGAACTCGTTGAGTACTCTATTCTTAGAAACAGTCACGTTGATCGGATATTGATAGCTATGTGATCAAATTAGTTTTGTATTTAAAAAAATAGACGGTGAACAAATTAACGGTTGACAAAAAATTGATCCAAAGCTATCGATATCCAATCAACGTGATTTTTTACAAGTATATAGTACTCGACGAGTTCTATATATTGAATGGTTCAGATTATCAAAACGGGACCCGTGGTGGGCCCCCATGGGCCGAACAGCACCATCCAATCCGATCTCGGACTGGAGGCAAGCTGCTCCTTTTATAAAAATCAGTATTATATTTTAAAAGTTATACAGTAAGAAAAGAGAGAATGTGTGTGCTCGCACTTGATTTGATAGAAAAAAGTGTGAGAGGAAAATAAAACCACAATGGTAAATTATAAATACACCTCTGAGATTTGATTAAAAGACGAATTACTCCCTGTGGTTTTGGAAATTATATTTCATCCCTTGAGATTTCTAATTTTGTAACAAATTGCCTCTTTTATCAATAAATCATGAAATCAATTAACAGTTTTAACAATATTAGAAATATGTTTCAATTAATAATTTAGGTAATTTTATTATTATATTAGAGAGCAATTATGAATTTCAATTTTTTAGTTACTCCTGTTAAATAAAAAATTCTAACAATGAGGTATTTATAATTTTTTAAATCACAATGGGCAATCTGTATTTTAAGTAAACCTTAAGAGGTATATTTGTAATTTACCCAAACCAAAAAGGGTAAAAAGGTCCATTAAACAAAGAATGATGTAGACACTAGTAGAAAACTGACCTTCTTCTACTATATAATTTGCGACCACCTGATTATTTGTCGCAAATAATCAATTTATTCCTTAAATTTTTTTTTCTTCCCCTTTTCCTTATAATTTCCCTAACCCTTTTTCACAAACACTGATCTCTCTCTCTCTCTCTCTCTCTCTCTCTCTCTCTCTCTCAATGTTAAATGGATCGTCGAAGCTCTCGCTTCTCAGGTCACCATTGACGCTTCTCTCTCCTTCAGTCGCCTCGCCTTCACCCCTGCCATCCTCAACCTCTTCCAGGTCTCTTTCTCTCTCTTCGTATATATACATACATTTGTGTATATATCGCTGATAGCTTGTGTTCTAGATGATTCTAGAGAGAGAATTGACAAATAGCTCTGAAGATCTATGGCGGATCCTTCTCTCTCTCTCTCGCACGCGTTCAACTGACCTGTATAGCTCTACTCTCTCTCTTGCTCGTCAGCTCACCCGCTCGTCATCGTCATCTGAAGATCTCCAGCGGTATGAATCTCTCTCTCAATCTCTCTCTCTCTCTCTCTCTCTCTCTCTCTGCCACACACACATATCATACGAGGAAGCTCTAGTTTGACTCATTCCTTTCTTATACGCGTACAGGTATGTACTTCCATATCTATTAGTGTATATCTCTCAATTTCTTATTCAATACATTATAGTAAGCAGTACATTATTGTTTCTAACTTGGAATCAAGATTTCATTGATTATCAGCAAGTTTGAATTTGTTGTGTCAAGAACTGGTAAATTTGAATTTGGAAGCTAAAAGTCCTAGTATTGAATTTGCTTGATTTATATGTGATATTAAATTAGTTCGTTGATCATGCTAATTGGATTTTTCTAGTTGATTGTTCTATTACCATTGACATTGACATGAATCATTATCACCTGGTATAAGTGTATTCATCATTGCTTTTGCTGTTGGAACTTTTGCTTGTTGGATGTTGTAGATGTCTTTGGTGATTTCTATGATCATATTTTTTTGTATATGTTTGGAGAAAAGAGGGAGGGTGGAAGGAAAACTAACTAATTTATTTGGTCCAATCAAGAAACATATAACAAATTCTAGATTCTTACAATTCCTTTTACATAGTTGATGTGAATTTTCATGTCTAGAAGGTGAGAAGTTTGTGCTTACCTAAAAATAGAACTGTTAGAAGTCCATGTGTGCAAATTGTTCTTATTGAAAATTTTATAAGCACTCAAATCTAAAGATGGTAACAAGTATGTAGAATTGCATAATTGAATTGGTTGTAAACATGATAATTTAAACATACTAAATGAATCATTTGCTTGTTTGCTTTGTTTACTATATATATAGATGGGCTTAAAGCAATTTTCTATCATCCTAGTGCTCAATAAATAAATAAATAAATAAATTTGTGTTGCTCTTTGCATTTTACTTATTTCTTGATTTTTTCTTAAGGAAAATTGTTTCCAGAAATTTAACCTAATTTGGGGAGAAGAGATACCTATTTACTCTAGGAATTTAACCTAATTTGGATTGCCTAAAACCAATGTTTGGAACAAATGTTTAATAAGTACTGATTTGTGCTTTGGATAGATGATTGATAATAAGGGATTTACGCTACTTGAGCCTTGATTTTTTAAGTAGTTCTGATTGCAAGTATATATTGGAGATCAATCATGCTTGATCCTACTTAGTATTTCATATAATTTAAAAAATAAATGTTATATTTCGATACTTCACCATTGTTATTCTGTTGTTTGGATTAATCTTTTGTAGAATGGGAGTTTGGCTCTTCATTATTAAATTAAATGCTCTTCAAAAGAGCCAATTTTTAGAATGAAGAGTAAATTTTTGTCTATTTTGTATAGTTGGTTTCAGAGGCAGATAATCCATCTTTAAACCGATTTTTATATTTTGCAAGGACTTTTGAATAAGTTTTCGATGTATAGTTGTCTTAGATTTTCTTTTGTATGCGGATTGCACCTACTTGGTGCCTTTTAAATATGTTTTCTACATAAAATAAAATTTATTTTGGTGGTCAACATCTTTTAATGGTTATCATCTAGTGATTTGCTTCTGTATAGGTTTTGGTCTTCATGGATGTTGGACAATTAACTTTTGTAATGTTTTGCAGGCAGTACAGAAGCTGATTGATGAAAAGTTTCAAGGAATAATACACCTGCGCATTTCAACATTGCATAAGAAGATTGCATCTGATCGCCAAGATTCTGTCAAACTTTCAGATTCTGAAAACAAGTTGGAGGCATTGTTGCAGGTTTATTCCTGTTGATCTTTGTAATTGTTCTGTACTGATCACCAGTAATAAAGCAGTGGCAGTTTGGCATTGATAGCAGTAGTAATAATAGCAATGACCTATCTTTTTTCCTAACCAAAAGAAAAAAAAAAAAAAAAAAGAAAAAAAAAAAAAAAAAGAAGAAGTGTTTTACACGAACAATTGAATTTTTTTGTTAATATTTTAATGAAAAAGATAAAATGAAAATAAAATATACTATTACGAACAATTGAATTTTTTATTTATTTATAACAATTTATAAAAAAAAAAGATTTATTTGTTAATATTGAAATTTGATATGACTCAATAATAATTTTCAAAATAAAATAGAACTTATTGATAATTTTTTCTATGGTGTTGCAGATCCAAAATCATCCGGTGATCCCAAGTTTGTGAAGGCATATGGTAACACAGATCTCTAATTGTTGTTATGCTATGCTTTTATACTAGAAATGCTAACATTGAAGAATACCATATTTATAGTAAACTAAAGCATCTCAGTTATGGTGACACATGGTGTTGTGGGATTCTTAGTTTTGTTAGTCTACGCTATGTTTTCAGAATGCCTTGTTGCACTTTGTGTCTGGCTACAAATGTTTCTTAGGCTGGGCTACTGTAATTGACCAAAGGAATTGTTTCAAAGTTCATGTCATAATGTAGCTTCTTTGGGCTACAAATCTATTGCATCGCCTGCGTTATGGGGGTATAATTTTTTACTGTCCTAGAATTGGATTTTATCTTGATGAGCCCATTTGCTCTTTAGTATTTCTATGGAAGTAATACTCTCATTCTGCATGGACGTCAAATATTGCAAATAAGTGTTCTATCGTTATATTTTACCACCTCAATCCTGGCTTAGAATTTGTTGGTTCTCCTCCTAAATCGCATGCTTTTTAATTTTCGGCCAGCCCTTTCCATCTAGAAGCTATTTAAAGTAAACTTCTTTTAATTGAATTTTAGTTTCTTCCATTGTTATTCTTGTTGTTGCCACTTATAGCATATAAAGTATCGGAGGCCTTGTATCTGGATATGCATTGCCTGTGTTTGTACTGCCAAGGTTGGATTCATGTTAGTAATAAGCATAATTAGTTCCAAATCCAGTTCACTTGATTTAGGGCCTCAAAATGTAGTTTGTGCATGTCCACTGTGTTGTCAAAGAAAATAGAAGAATTCATTGTATAACTAATTTCAGCTCTCATATTCTTGGTTGCAGAACTAAGTTCAGAGGAATCAGAAGATGTTCTTTTCAAGCAGGTCTGCTTCTTGCTTCTCTAAATTAGTTAGTTTTGTCATGCTCATGGCCTTTTTGATGATGTATCTGCCATGCTTATACTATTTTGCATGCTAGATTGTTGATTAAAGTAAATCTCAGGAAAGATGTGTGGGGCATCCTCAGGCTTTTCTAACTTGGAAGCATCTTTGAAGTTTTCTACCATCTTTTTTTTCTCACTTAGAAAATTGAAAAATAAAAGGGTGGACACTGTCATCCATAATGTCATTTGCAACAGCAAGGTGGAGACTAATCTAGTTGCCTTTTGGTCAATGGTGATACAAGAGTTGTATTTTTATTCCAGATTTACAGGTTCTAACTAAAATTTTAACGTCGTGACTGACTAATATGAAAAACTTTCCACAAAACATTATCCTAAGGTAGTGTTTGGTTGATTAGAATGAATGTGGATTGGAATTCCTTAGTCTTCTTATGAAATGATGATTCCCTTACAATGGTGAATGATGATTCCATTGCAATGTATATTATTCTTTTAGTGAACCAAATGTGAGAATGGACATTCTTATGGAATAATCATTCCATTCCACTTCATTCCAATAACATATAAGTAGTTTATGCACGAGGTTTTACTAATTTATTGGAAGACAAGCCAATGAACTATCATATTTTGCCATTCATGACAATTGTGAGAACCAACCAGAAGAATTAGCCATGCATAAACTTATTTTGCTCAATTTTTATTATCACTATTTATTTGTTTACGCGACTTGGAAAAGGGAGGACGACATAATGAAAAGATATCTTGAATTGTTCCCTCTGAATCCGGTATTCTTCCAAAATGAAGGTAATTCGAGTTTGGTGGACCAAACTCTTTTTAAGGGGGGGAAACTATGACAACCCTGACCTATGTTTAACATTAATTCATGATTAAGCATGCTAAGTAAATGATTGAGATGAAATCTCAAATTGATTATGTGAATGTGTTGTTTTAATTGCATTTCTATCTGTTTGATATAGGACAATCTGTTCACGTTTTAATTTCGAGTTGCGAATTAAAAGACTTATCGGCGACTGATTCAAAAATTGACTTGTGTTATATGCTAGTTAGAAATTATAGGATATTATGGTAGGTTTAATTGAAGCTCGATTTGGAACAATTAAATTAGAATAAATAATGCTAATTAATTGAACCTAAGTTAATCACATTTTGCCATTGAGTGGGCTCCCTCAAGATCATTGTCTTGTTCCTATTTTACATATGTTTGACAGACCATTCATGTTTCACCTCCTTGCAAAACCATGAGGGAGAAAGAGGAGAGTAGGAAGAGATTGAATTCAACAAGTGAATAGCTTGAAATTTAGAGGAGATTGGAGAGGATTTGGAAGATTGAGCTACCACACTTGGAAATTCAAGACTCAAGGTAGGAATCTACCTTTTTAATTGTGAATTGAAGTTGTTTAATGCATGGATTCATGGAAATCAGGGACTAAAGTCAAGAAATAGCTTAAAGAGTGGATTTGAGAATTAATTCATGCATGCATGGCCATATCATAGAATTTTGAAGTTGTTTTCATAAAATTTCCACATGCATGTTCATATTATGGTTGTACTCTAGAAATTCACCATGTTTTTGAGTTGAATCTTGTATTTGATCATACTTTGAAGTATTGGAGTTCATGGGAGCTCACGCATGTCATGTTTTTTAATCAATCATAAAGTTAAAGTTGAGGTTGTGTTCAATTGGCATACCTGTAGGCTTTAATTTTATGAAATAGTCTTTAAATCATGTTGTATTATGAGTCTTTAAGTGTTTTCCAAAATTTTGACCCAAAATGATGAGTTTTGGCATATTAAATCCATGGTTTGAGCTTTGGGAGCAAATCTGGAAAACCCAGAATTTGGTTTTCTCGCTCGAGCGACCACCTTTGTTTTCAGAATTTCGCTTGAGCGATGGAATGCTGGCTCAAGCGTAAATTGCAAGCTCTTAGAATTTTTGCGTGTGCAGAAGCACGCCCGAGCGGCAAGACTTGCGCTCGAACGAAGAACTGTGTCTCACGCTCGAGCGAGTATCGAGCGGAGATTTTCAGCAACCAGTACTTTTCACATTTTTGCAAATCGCTCGAGCGAAGGAGTCTACGCTTGAGCGACCAAGCACATTCTGCATGTTCGCTCGAGCGAAGGAAACCACGCTCGAGCGAGACCCCTGTTTTCAGCAAGTTTTGAAAAATATTTGTAAGTACATTTTTGCATCCACATTCCATCCTAGGCATTCCTAGGCCATGTTTAAGGCATCATAATGAGAATAATGATTTAGAACCACACCAAAGCAAGCAAGGGGCTAAATTATTAATTCCGGGTGTGTAATTTAGTGTGTGTTCGTTCTGCAACTGTGTAGGTTTGGCACCCAAGGACGCTGATTAGCCTGCCTATAGCCCAGTAATCTGTGAATAATAATGTTGTAAAGCTATGTTAAATTATAATTATTTTCTGAATGATTAACTGTACTGCTTTCCGAATGATATTGTTTACTAAATGAATGTTTGTCCTATTTTATGAACTGTACTCGTGGTATCCATAGCAACTGACTGTTACTGTTACTGTTACTGTTACTGCTACTACTACTGTTATTGTTACTGTTACTGCTACTATTACAGAGATCTCTGTCAGTTCTTATCCTTGGAACTACCGTTACTGTATTGATGGCCATCAAATGACTGTTCGGTCTTTAAGACCTACTGTACTGTTTTGATATTGGATGTACCACGTATGACTGCTATGATTCCTAAATGACTGACATGATATGAAATATTAGACACTGATTGAATAACTGATCTACTGATGCAAATAACTGTTTTAGTTGCAGAAAGGACATTCATTCTTAACCCCTTTACACATTTGTTGTTCACTGGGCTTTAGCTCATAGTTTATATATATATATATATATATATGTAGGCGGCCAAGCACCGGACCAGAGCTAGAAGCGCCAACTTAAACTCATGTTTTGTCAAGCCAACCATCGCGCCTCATATCGAGGCTCCGAAACTGCACGAGTCAAGGCTGTTTTGGGGTGTTTCAGTTTCACCCTTTTTGTCTCTGTTAATGTACTGAATGTCTAAGGCTTTTGATTGTACAGTTATGGTGAAGGGATTAGGTCCCTAACCTGTATGTTACTCCGTATATGTGTTTTTGGTATGTATGTATATATGGCTATGAATGTGGTTATGTCCATAAAAGTTTTCTCATTCAGGTTTTCACAGCTCATTGGACGATGTAAACTATTACTGATTGGCTCCCGCCAGCCTCTTTACATTGTATTACTGTCATTACTGTTAATTAGGCCTTCGGTAATCACGGATTACTGGCCGGTTACGATGCTAAACCTACAGGGGCGGGTTTGGGTCGTGACATTATAGTTCATGATCTTTCCAATTTTGTATATGTTCAGGCTTGGCTTATGTACTTTTGGAGAAGAGCCCAGGTTTATGGTGTAAAAGAAGATATTGTAGAAGAATGACTTTAATTTTGGATCAGTCGTAGTGGGCAGTCCCTAACATCACATGATTCTGTTGATGGCAATATCAATTGCTGATTAGCTCATGTATTACATTATCATTTACAAAACAAAACAAAAAAAGAAAAAAAAGAAAAAAAAAAAACAATAATTTATTCCACCATCTAATATAGTTTGTATTTAATGAGTATTACAACTATTTGTGGAAAGTGTAGTAAAGAGAATGAATAGTAGATTTAGCTTGGGACCATTTCTGGCTTGCTTATGAAATTGAGAGGAGATGCATTGCATAATGAACTTGGAAAACAAGTGCGAAGTGGTTTGAAAGTGCCTGATAAGATAATGGGAATTTTTTTATTTTTTTTGTTGACTTTTGTGAAAAAATTCTACTTATTGCTTCCAATGCTTGCTCGGTTGCAGTTGAGCGAGGTTTGACGGAGCTGAAGAAACTGGGAATAGAACAGCAACTGTGGGAAGCATCTAGCAAGGAAATTGACCAAACATCGGTTACTAATACCAAAGTTGCTGCAGATTCAGAGACATCTTCGTGATTGCTGTTGTCGCCCTAATTTGTTGTATCTTTCGTGCCTTTATTAAATTTCCTTTTTTTTCTCCCCAATTTTTTTGTTTTACAATTTTCATCAAGGTTGCTAAAATAGCCTTCTTTATTCTATTTTGTTTTCTTTGAGCTCTATGGGGACACATTATATCTGTTATGGTTGCAAATTTGCATACAGTAGAACTACAGAATAATTGTATTGTGTGAGAAGTTTGAGAGGGAAGTGTAGTTAAAAGGCTGTTTATGAACGTTACATTGTTATGTTTCTTGTTAGTGCTTAATAAATAGTGTTTTGGCCATTGCTATTCCCAAAGTGCTTAACGTTACACTTTTATGTTTCATGTTTTTTTTTAAAAAAAAAATTGTGACGGTAACAAGATGACCGCTAATACATTGCAAGGCATTTTTAAAACTTTTTTGTGACAGCAAAACATCAGTCGCCATAAGTAGGTTAGGCGGTCGCAAATAGTTTGCGACTGCTGTTTTCTAATCGCAAAAAGTATTTGCCACTCCCACATTCGTGACTCTCATTTGCAGTCACATGAGTAGTCACAAAAGGTCTTTTGTCACTATATTTTTATTATTTGCGACGGTTTGTAGCGATCGCAAAAAATACCTTTTTAGTAGTGAGACTTATTATCGCCAAAGCATTATATATAATATAACCTTTTTAATGCATACTTTTTACATGCCATTGCTATTAGAATTTTGTGAAAGTTACCATTAACTTTCCCCATATTCTACTGCACAATAAATTCCCCTTTAAAATAAAGTTGATCTATTATCGCCAAAACAATAGGTATAATATAACATTGTCAATCCATTTGATCCTTCGTTTGGTAAAAAATTTGAGACTTATAGCATTTTCCTTACTTTACCAACTACTATGAGTACCTGAAAATGGACTCAATCCTTAAAATACATAATACCATTTTAAGTAATATACATTTAGCTAGCTTGTTTCTTTTCCTTCCATGATTCATCCATGTTTTTTTTTTTTTATAATTTTTTTTTAATGGATTAAAAATGTGGTATCCCTAGCTAGCGTGTTGATTCTAAGTCAAGCGATACAACATAAGCCGCAAATCTACAATATGTTTTAGTACATCAAGTTGCAACATGCCTTATATGAGTTTCGCATTGTGGTTATTAATGTGAGTTAGGCAGTGTATATTTTAAAAGTTATACATATTTTATCAAAATAAAATAATAAAAAATAAAAATAAGAAAGGAGAGAGAGAGAGAGAGAGAAATAATTGATAGAAAAAACTTTTTTTAAAAAAGTGCAAGAGGAAAATAAAAAAATAAAAAGGTAAGAGGTCCTTTAAAAAAATGTTTCTAAATAAAGTTTTCACTTGCTAACCATTCACTAGTAATGATTTTCCTCATATTCCACACCATGGTGGTTTTCTTTTAAAATAAGGGAAAATTACAAATCAGTTATACCTTTAAAAAATAATTACATATATATAGAAAAGTTTATACTCTTAATAATTAAAATTTACAAAACTTATTATTAATTTGATTTTTTTTTCTTTCAAAATATACATTGATTTGTTATTCTCCTGAAGATAGCATGCAAGACAATCAAAGTATATCGTTTATGATATCCTTAGCATGTTGGTCATGATTTATAAGTAAAAAATAATAGCAATAATAATAATAATTAAATTGATTTTCATATTTAATTTTTATATAAAATTTGTCATTAGAATAATATTACAGTGTGTTCATTATTATTATTATTATTATTATTATTATTACTTTTGAGGTATATTAGCACTCATCTCATCTACTACACCAAATGAGACCCAAATTGATGGGACCCACATTGTGTGGGTCCCACACCCATGTGAGACATTTGGTAAAACTTTTGGTAGAATATTTGGGGTCTCTAGCATTACTCATAAATAAGTGCACTTTTTATTTTTTTTGCGAAAAAATGTGCAGAAAAGTAGAGAGGTGATGTGATGGAAAAAAAGATAAAAAGATAAAAAGATGGATTATTTTTGAATTTCCAAACTTGACCTTAATTAATATCAAAATCTTATTCAAACTTACATAATGCGCAATCCAATTTTTATCGAGTCAAGCCAACCTCACTACACATGGGTTGATTTGGTTCGGGTTTAAACTCGACTCAGACTCAACCCAACCCAAAACCAACCAATAGACCCAACCCAACCTAAAACCAACCAATAATTACCAATTTGGTTCGGTTCAAATCATTTTCATGATTTATTGTAACGAGCCCATTATGCAACTGGCCCAATTCTTGCAGGCTTCACATAATGTTGGGCCTAAAACAAAGTTAGGCCCACCAACTACCTTATTGTTATTTAGCAATAAGTTGATATGCTTGTTTTTGGGAAGTGATTTTTTTTGACTTATTATCTTATTATGAAAAGAATGTGCAAAAAAAATAAAGAGGTAATGTGATCTAAGGATTTTTTGAGATAATTTAAATAAGTATACTTTTTGACTTTTTATAAAAAAATGTGCAGAAAGTAGAAAGATAAAATGTGTTTGGTTTCAGTTTTCTGAAAACTGAATTTTTTGTTTTTTGTATTTGTTTGTTTTTAGTGAATATTTTTAA